ACTCAATGTAGCATATTAACATTGGTATTTCATATGCCTTTAGCCATATTTCTCAGTTGTGATTGAACTAATCTTCTTTGAGGTCTTTCATTATTGGTTTTAGTGTATCTCTTCTCTTTCCATACGTAACTACTTTAGTGAAGACCTTAGTCACTTAAGCAAAGTTAGAAGACCACAAACAATACAAATAAAAAGTTCATGCTCACAGTAAAATACTGTGCCCACTCTTTTAGAATAAAAAATACCCTTCCTACCCTAACCAAAACTCATTCTCATTAAAGGAAATTAAGAAGCTGCTAAACACACCTTATTTTATTCTAAGTAAATAGGACACATTCTTCTAAGTAAAATATTTATGAATACTACATTAGAGCTTAGACATCATTTGAGCACTAAATTAAAGTCACAGTTTATAATCAGAGAACATTGCTCTGTGACAGTATGCCCCAGGAGTTTTCATCATGTTTGCATTTTCTTATTGTCTCCTTCTACTACTAATTTTTTGTATTGCTGGACACAATACCTGACATGCACCACTTAAGGAAAAGAGGTTTAAGTGGGATCACATTTTAAGGAGATGCAGTCCATGTTCACCTGACTCCAAAGCAGCAACAGCATGGCAGATAGGTATGGTGCAACAAAGCTGCTTGTTCTTGGCAGCTGGAAAGTAGAGCAGGATGTATTTCCAGAGAACAGGAGGTAGGGGACCAGATATGGCACCTAGTGTCATGCCTCCGTGACCCACACAGACACACCAAGAAGTGTGGTCCACCAAGCTGCTGAGTAGCTTTCAAACTAGTTATGTTGACACAATTAAGCTTAACTGTCACGTTGTGTTTGTGAATATAAGTGCCCATTCAACTTGTTTCTCTTTCAAAAATCACTTAACATATGCTATTGTGCATGGCTTTTGTAAACTTTAAATTTTCATAATTATATTTTTATTCAATGCACATAATTATATGATATCCCTGACCACAATGTGGCATTTAATGAACATATACGTATCAGTGATTAAAAAAGAACAAAATGTCATGAAACTCTTCTCAACATTTGAAGAATTTTATGTGGTTTTTTTGAACCCCATACTATCTCATTAAAGTATTTTAGAATGAGATAGATCTTTGGTTTCTCTTAACTTTGTATTGCAGTATGCCTGCTAATATGGTTTCATTCCTTTTCAGATCAGAAAAATTTACTTTCCCTTTTAAGATAGTGCAAAGGGTAGGCCTTAAAACTCTATTAAAATCTGTAAGAAGATCCAACCTTCTTCTTCCTAGTGAATACATTTTTATGTTAATACTGCATAGATTCCATTCTCTTTCTGCAGCTACATGAAAGAAATTTGTGTTAATTATTTTATCAGCTTAAATTATGACAATTGGGAAAAAAAGAAAAGGAAAGGAAATAATGTACACAAATGGAGGAATTTCCTCACTTGTAAAATATGCATAAGAATTATCTAATGGAGTTTGTAAAAAATATTTTAAGAAATCTCTTAAATTTCTTAGATGTATGGGTCTCAGTCACATTTATTAACATAGCTACCTATGAATATTTTAACATATCTTGATACTCTAGTTTCACATAAAACCAATTTAATTAGAGTATATACATGTGAAGTTTTGATGGTCTAATTCTGTACAAGAGTTGAGATCCAGTGCCTTAGAATATCTCATGGCATTTAGAAAATGTTCCATTAATATTGCCTTCAATTGTCAATAATATCCACTACATACACTAAAACACAAGCATTTCATAATGTTGGAAACAAACTTAATACACAATATCAATTGGAAGTATCACCTATGAATTATGAGTTCTTGGGATCTCTCCATTATTCTATTCTGATGAATATCTGTTCCCCAAAGGCAAATACTGTTGTGAATTTAATTCATAGATTTTTTTCCTTGTAGTATTTTCGTATCACTTTTTATTTATGTATCTGTAAACATTTTTATTAAAACTTCTCTAAAAATACCTAAAATTCTGCTTAGCAGTGTATATCACAGCACATACTGCCCCTGAACTGTACAAGTTTATTTAACATGTAGTTTTGTGTCTCTCTGTAAAGTGCAATGTTGATATTAAATTTTTTATCATGCCAAGAATTATCTGCATGATAGATATTTAATTTGTCACTTTATTATAATAACAATCCTATGAAAAATTTTATACCTTTCTTCATATCAAACAAAGGAAAGTTTCCATGTACTGTGTATATGGTAGATCATTCTTTGACTTCTAGGAATTGAAGTATATTTAATTTTACTATTAAACACTCACACTTTCTGACCCAACAAAAATCAGTTATCATTGACACATCCTGCTAATCATAAGAATATGTCCTACGCATCCTTCATCTATTAGTAACACTTTCATGAGAAATTACCCCAAAATTTCATCTCCTATATGGAAAAATATTTCCATTTGCTTTCATTAGAGCAGACAGTGCTCTGGGATGGAAGTCAGAAGATCAACATTTTATTCCCAAATCACTGACCTGGTGCTATATTCAGAATGGGTGTGAATCTCTCCACCTTCTGAAATTATATTCCTTAGTAACGGGCAGTAACACCAATCTCCAAAACATGTCTAACACATAGGTAAAATTTAGAATTTAAATATTTGTCATTTTTTAAAAAAGACAGAATTCAATATCATGGAAATATCGAGTTGTTGATCAATATGATTGTTAAAGAGTACTGGACCTTTGAATTATGTGAAACGCCAAAATGTGTCCAATCTCAAGCTATAAGTACCACCTGCCTTATTATCTTCCCTTTTTTCATTTTTCACCTCAAATCAATCAAGGCTTTTGAATAATTATAAATGGCAGGTGTCATTAAATGCATTATCTGGCCCATATGTACAAAACATTAGCACAAACAAGATCTATTGTATCTTTTCTCCAGTCTAGAACAGGGACATTCATAAAAGCAATGAAAGGGTTAACTGGATAGCACCAAGCATGTTGAAGCTTCACTGATTATTGCAAATTATAGTGAACCAACCGAGGTTCTAAACAATGTTGAACAGAGAAGTTTTGATACCTCTTCTGGTCCAGCAAAGTATAAATCTAAAATTAAAAAAATGAAATAAAGCTAGTCATTTCTCTCTAAATATAGATTATATGCATTACCAAGGACAAAAATAAAGCATGCTATTAAGATAAATAGATCACACCCCAAATAAATGATGTTTAAATGAATGGAAATTAGCATATCATTATAAACACACCTAGTAGCTACATTTTACTTTACCTTATTTTATGTATTCGTCACCCATTAATCCTGTTAAGTATCCTATTAAGTATTTAATCCTTCCTCAATGCATTTGTCTCAAACCATAAATCATCTCAGATGACAATGCTGAGTCTCAGAAATACTGACAATCTGGCCTATGTGCAGAAATGAACAGCATGGTCAAAAGAAGTGAAAATTAAATTTCAGTCCCTGTGTCTGTTACATCATCCCTTTCATTGTTAGCCAACAGTCAGAAAGTTTAAGCAGAGAGAGGGCTTAACCCCACAAACTCCTGAGGCACATCCATAAACAGTTTCCAATTTCCTGAATAAGAGTCAATTCAAGTACAGACTCCGTGTCTAGTTTTGAGATTAAGTGGAATGACTACAAAAGTGTAGGAGTTTGTGGCCAACTGCTAGGAAACCCTGGATATAAGGTAGGAGAGAAATCTGTGCTGAGCCATTCTATGGCTGCTCTATGTGTGAATTTTGCTGTGATCTATAGCTCTCTTTCATACAGAAGATACAGCTGTGGCCACCAAACGCTCTGCCCTGCCCCCGTCTACCAGGAATTGCACAGAAAAGAGTGCAGTGATAAAGGGGTGTCTTGCTGAAGTGACACATAAGAAACGGCTGTTAGAGGTGTCAACGGGTTGCCAGTATTTTTGTAGGAAGAAACCTGTGTCTGTAATCAGACAGCCTAATTAAAAGACAGAATGCCTTTTCCTACCAAAAAACCCAATGTGATTTACAAAAATGTTACTCCTTCCTTTATGTAAAGCAATAATAATGTGAGCAATGATAAATAGAAGATCTAAGCTCTCGATAATGATTCAGGATGTTGTGGTTAATGTGTTCCTCTTCCTCTTCCTATCATCACCCACCTTCTGAAACATTTTTGAGTTGCAATGGAAAAGCTTGGAGGGATGGATTTTTCCATTATGGGGTGCAATGTTTAAGTAAAGTATAATCAATGTAGGAGGAAAGAAAAATATTACATGAGAATTCTAAGACCCTTACCACAACCAAAAACAGAAACTTCACTGTTCTTGTAGCTGAAAGTTGGCAAATTGGCATCCACCCCTGTGGCACACATACCACATGTTCACCCTGAAGATGAGGAAACAATACGTCCAATACACCTTCCTCTATCCTTCATCTCCCTTCACACTTACTGCATAATGCTCGGTCTCAGCTGGGTCATGACCAAGGGATAAGGATCTGCCAGCTCTCTAGTTAAGGCTGTCTTTGTCCTCACTATTGATCTGAATACAGTGACAGGAGCTTTCTGATGCAGACAACCACAGAGAAGTTGACACAGGTATGGAAACCATTGAGCTGGAGCTGAACGTCTGGAGACTCAGGTTGATTATTCGCTATTATATTATACGACCTGGAGCCTGCCTCCATAGAGCTCATAAAGAGCCAAATTGGCCCATGTTCTTCAAATCTCTAAGGACTTCATTATATTAGTAGAGGAAGAAGAGAAAATGAATGGCCTCATAAGTGGTTGCTTCATTCTACTCAGAAAGAAGCTCATGTGTGATATTCACTACTTTTGTCTTTTTATTAAGATGTATATTGTCTAGATTAAAATTATTCATTATAATATATCCCTACATGCTTGAAGCTCACATTTGTCATATCCACACATTCTTCTTCTACCCTCACTCACACCCCGAGCACCTTTCCCAGATCTTCTACCCTTATACTTTCAGGGTGATGTTTAATTTGCACATATGAGAAGAAACATGCAGTGCTTGTCCTTCTATGTCTTCTTTAATTTTTCAAAGATCCATCTGCATTTTATTGCCATTCCTTATTGTGGTAAATAGACATAAAATGAACATTTTCACCATTTTAGGTGCCCAGTTCAGTTGCACACTGTTCTTGCAGTCATCAAACATGACGAGGAATTGAAGTTGATAAGCTACAAACATACCATGGCCAAGGAGGCATGAATTATATTTCTACATGCTACATTTGCTGGATTTGGTAAGCTGGATTTCAAAGGGTTGTCACAAGCTTTGCAATTAGACTATTCTGCTGTGGAGCCTCCTCAAGGCATCTTTAATATCCCTGTTCCTCAGGCTGTAGATGAAGGGATTCAGCATAGGAGTGACCACAGTGTACATCAATGAAGCCACTGCACTGTTTCTGGGAGAATGTGATAGAGCTGAGTCGAGGTACACTCCAAGGCTTGTGCCATAAAACAGACAAACTACTGAAAGGTGAGACCCACAGGTGGAGAAGGCCTTATACTTCCCACCCGAGGAGGGAACCCTCAGAATGGAGGAAGTAATTTTATAGTAAGAGAAAAAGATCCCCGAGATAGGAAGAAATCCAAAGACAGCAAGAATAAAATACATGATGATGTTATTGATAAAAGTATCAGAACAGGCAAGATTAAGAAGCTGAGAAGGGTCACAGAAGAAACTGGCAATTTGCATACCCTTCAAGGATGTCAGTTGTGAGATAAGTAAGTTGTACAGCAGTGAGTCCAAAAGACTGATTAAAAATGACACTAGCACTAAGAAGACACAGAAGTGAGGGTTGATGATGACCTGGTAATGCAGAGGGTGGCAGACGGCCACAAACCTGTCATAGGCCATCACACTTAGAAGCATGTCATCCATACAAGCAAAAATGAGAAACACAGACATCTGTGTGAGGCAGCCCATAGAGGAGATGACTCTGCTCTCGCTCTGGATGTCCACAATCATCTTTGGGACCGTGGTGGAGGTGAAACAGATGTCAGCCAAGGACAGGTTGGAGAGGAAGAAGTACATGGGGGTGTGGAGGTGGGAGTCACAGCAGACGGCCAGGATGATGAGCAGGTTCCCAAGCACTGTGACCAGGTACATGGACAGGAACAGCCCAACAAGAATTGGTTGCAAGTTGGGATCTTCTGTGAATCCCAGCAGATAGAATTCTGAGACATGTGTTAGAATTTGTGCATCTGAATTGTTTAAACACCTTTTGAAAAAAAAAAAGTTTGAACATAAAAAAGCAATGAGGCACGCTGTATACATTTTGAATTCAAGTATTTCCATGTAGAGTATCATACTGAGATTCAAAACTTTGAGCAACAGTTCTTATTTTTTACAAACTCAGATATCACACAGCTCTTTCCCTGCTGGTTTCTGTGTTATTCATCTCTTTCTAAACATACTTACTTTAGAGACACTTTACACTGCAATGTTAGGAAGGCCAAGAGCACCAAACATAGCATGAGCACGCTCACAAGTAAATACAGACTATTCTTTTAAGACGAACTAGAGAGTAAAAAATACTCTTTTGTGTTGAAGATAAAAATCATCCTCATAAAAAACTGAAGAAACTGTTTATACATTTCATTCAAACCAATGGTATAAACTCAAATGATTTAGCATATGTAGAAATTCAGTGAAAACTATAATTGAAACAGCTACACATTAATTTAAGTTGATATTTATCACTATAAAACATTGTTATGGGTCACTTATCTTCAAAAGACTTCATTTTATTTTCTCATTTCTTTCTTTGAAGTATATATTGGCTCAAATATTGCTTTTCTTTCGCAAATCATTAAACATATAATTATTATATGTGTGTTGGACTTCAATTTAATAGATATCATTTACTTAAGTGTATGTAACTCATGGTAACACTGTCCTTAAATGTCAGATTATTATATATTGTACATGTCAATGATTAACAAGTAAAACAATTAAGAAATATTTTTGAATAATTTTCATTTTATGCAGGTTTATTTGTATTAGCCCACATACAATGTTTATTTCATTTTTCATATTTAAGAGAGTTTGATTTTTCTTTCCCTTCCTTTTTAAAAAATTCTAGATTCTATACTGGCCTCATAACCAGGTCCTTGTTTGTCTGGTCATGAACCTTCCTGCTTAGAGCTAAGGGCTTTACTACTGAGCAAAACTGCACCACTCAGCTTTGAGTCCCAACCTTCTGCTTTAGTTCATAGATTTTTCACACCAATCCTTTCCAACTGCTTGATTGATTTTCTTATTGTAGCAACTTGAGTGCAAGCCAGTTCATTCATTTGTCAGATCATGCTGTAACTTAAATGTGAAAAAATGCTAAATAATAAAAGTATAGGAAATCACTTTACATATACTTTGGCACTTTTCTCATCCGTCAAACAGGGATTATAATTCCTACCTTATAGAATTGGGGTAAAGTGTTTTTAAAAATATTTTGAATTGTATACATTAGTACTTCTCAGTCCCTTTTCCAATATATTTACCCTTGAATCTTTAAAACATATTTGATTATCACAGCCCAGAAGCAATGATTCCATTCTTACAGTAGGATTGATAACAACTGCCTTAGAATATTTTCTAGCATTTTTGAAAATGCTCCCTTAATAGTAATTAACAAGTCCAAAAATATCCACTGCATATAATACACCAGAAACATGTAGTGATGTGTTTCACAAATAATATTGTATAGAAATCTGAAATATTAACTCTGAAATCTTACTTCTTGGTATCTCTCCATAATTTCATTCTCCTACAAATCTGCCTTCCAAACAACTACTGTCATGAATTCAGTGAGTATACTTACACTCAATATGTCAATATCAGCTTTGATTATGTATCTGTACCAAGGTCTCTGCAAAGTAACCCAAAACATCCCTGAATCTCATCTACATAGTCGACAACACCGCTTCCTCCTGAAATGTACTGGTTTAAGTTTACATGTTTGATTTCTCTCTTTAAACTACATACCACTTTAAAGCCTTTAATTGAAGTACTCAGTTTTCTAAAAGAGAACATTGTATATGTTTTTTCTATTTATTAGTATTACACTTCTTTCAAAATTCTCATACCCTTATCTATATCAGATAAGTGAAAATTTTCATATAATATACACATAGAGGATGTGTAGTTGACTTCCAACAGTTGAGGCACATGCAGTCATACTATTAATCACCTATATTTATGGTCTCAAAAAATCAACTGCCCATATCCATACATCCTCTTATTTTTCAGATATACCAACAAATATCCTTACAGTGGGTCTAGAGATGAGCTTTTCATTATAACTCACCAAGAAATTTCATCTTGTACAGGAAATCATATTTCCACTTGTTTTTAGTAGAGGAGGAAGAGCCCTGGGATGGGAGTCAGGAAATGCATGTTTTCTTCCTGTATCATTTACCTGCTACTATATCCAGACTGTATGCAAATCTCTCCACCTTTTGGGTTCACACTGATTAATAAAAGAAGGAGAAGACCCATGTCTTCCACATATAAGACATGTATAGAAGTTTAGAACCTAATAAATATTTCATCATTGTATTTTAAAAAGTAAAGAACTAATTCCTTCTGAAACACAATTGTGAGAGGATGTTGTAGCTCCTAAAGTGAGGAAACTCTACAATGTACCTCATCCAAACAGTCAGGATTGCCTACTCTCTTTTCTATCTGCATATTTTTCATAGTCATGAAAGTCTGGCCATCAATTTTTGAACAACTGAATGCTGCAAATGCTGTTCATTCAATTACACGCTTGTATGTCTGTAACATAAGGAGAAACAAGAGCTATGTTATCTTGCTGCCAGAAATATGGAGCATTCCTGAAAGGATCAAAAGTACAGACAGGAAAGCCCCAACTGTGTTGAAACCACAGTCATTATGAACATCTTCTGTGAACAAAAACCTAGCTATTCAGTGTCTGTCAGTGACATCTCTTTGATGCCTCATCAGTGGCAAGCAATATATAAGCTCTGGGGAGTCCAAAACTGAAGAGAATTAGTGATTCCTTTCCAGATAGACAACCCTATTTACAGAAGGACAAAAATCGAATGTCCCATTATAGAAAGAGTAACTTCAGATTGCAGGATATTTTAGTTGAGTGATATCAATGCTAACATCATTAATAAGAAGAATACCAAATTGTACTTTGTCCCCCACTGTGTGCATTCTTTATGCAGTCATCTTATAGGGAGATGCTTTCCCTGTGTAATCCCTACTTAAAGCAGTCGCAGTGACTACAAACCAACCCAGGTGATGACGCTGAGTCTCAGAGATACTAACAACCTGTCTAATGTCACAGAACTAAGTAGAGCTAGAAGCATTCAAAAGTAAGTTGTCCATTATCTGTGTTTGTGTCATTTTAAGTTTTTCCCAAAATTTTCAGAAAGTTTTAAGAGTTAGCTCAGAGGTCTGGACCACAGATGCACTCAGGTACATTTTTAAACTCTTTCCAGGTTCCTGACTAGGAAAAAAATCAGGACCTGACTTTATTTCTATGTTTGAGGTCATGTGAACAGATTGTAGGCACAGAGGAGGATATGGACAGTGGCAAAGGTAACCTGAGTGGAGAAAGTGCTGACTTGTCATGCGTGGTTCCTACTTTAAAACCACTGCCTATGAGCCACAGCTATCCTACCTCTAGTTAATTCAGTAAGAACCAGCCAGGGCTCCCCACTGTGACCTATATAGAATCCTCACTGCAAAGTGTACAGTGAACAACAAATCTTTCCCAGAGTGAAAGGAAGTGAAATGGCTTTTTGTGATGTCTACGGCCAATGTGCCAAGATTCTACCAGCAAGAATACCCTGTGATATTGTCAGAAGATTAATTTAAACAAGTCCTTGTTTCTTTCTACCTGGACACATAGGACATGTTACACAAAAATGCTGTGATGCTTCCTTCCTGAAAAATAATAATATTTGAGGCACTTGTACCTTGAGGAAGACTATGCAGACAAGCTACATAGAGGACATAGCTCAGATCCAGGCACTTAGGGAGTCCTGCATGAATGTAGAAGATGTTAGGATCACTGTCCTCTTGGTTGTCATCACCATCATACATACTTTTGGTGTTCATGAGTGAGGTTAGATGGACCATTGTCCTCTCTTGAAGGTTAGATGATTATGGGAAGTAGAACCACTAAAGATGGAAATCACACTTTCAGGTTTTGGGGACTTCCAAGCCAACCAAGAACATAAAGTTCACAGTTCAACTTGAAATTTTCATACTGTTATTCTCCCTTCTGGCTACTCTGGCTATTATATACCTCCTGATGATGAAAAAATAAAGCTTATTTTAGTCCTCCCATCCAAGAACTTACTTGGTTATGGTGTATGTCTTCTCGGTCATGATCAAGAACTACAGATATATGAACTGCCTCTGCGAGCTGTCCAGTGATGGCTCAAGTTCACTCCTCTAGGCCAATAGGAGTACAGTAGTAGACAGGAGGTTCCTGAATACAAAATCATGGGAGGAGCAGACACAGGTATGGAGCCACTGGACTAGAGTCATCATACTGAAGGGCTAGAGACACAGGATGAATATTTACTATCATGTGGCCTTGGCGACTGAATGCACAGAGCTCATAATTAATCATGTTGCCCCACGCTATCCTCATCTCTAAGGACTTCCTAATGTTAATTGAGGAAGAAATAGAGAAAGTAAATTTTCTCAAAGGCCTTGGGCTGCTCAAGAGAAAGCCCAGGTGCATGTGTACTATTGTTTCTTTCTTTTCTAAAGGGCCATGTGATTTTACTTGCATATTTTTTGCTAACATTTACATAAGAATTTCACCATTTCAGCCACTTTAAGAGCATGGTTTCGTGGCATTAATGACATTCAGATAATTGTGCAACTATCACCACCATCTGTCTCCAGAAAGACTTTGTATTTCCAATCTAAATTTGTTTCCATTTTATAAATCACCCCATCCTCTCTTTTCCCGAGGTAGTGACCATTGTCATGAAACATAATGGTATATTGAAGACATCAAAGTACAAAAATAATGTGGCTGAGGATGCACAGCTTTCAGATCAAGATATTGCCTTTCATTTTCTTTTCCAACTCACATCCCAAATGGATGCCACTGGTCCTGAGAGAACACTGTTCAACTAGGTTGTTTAAGAAGGAGATTTTTAATGTCCTGTTCCCCAGGCTACATGTGATGAAATTAGAATGTGAAGAGGTAGATGCAAAGTATGCTCCAATGGCTACTCTAGAAAATAGCCAGACTGTTCAGAGGGAAGCCAACAGGTGAAAAAGAC